ATTCCTTACACTATAGTATCCCTTTAAAAAATACAAATTTAGCTAAGCAAGGTACGAAACACACATTTCTGCTCTAATGATAACTAGGTGTATATAGGGGTTTACTTCAAAAACTTAAAGGGACACTATAGTCACCTGAACAACTTTAGCTTAATGAAGCAGTTTTGGTGAATAGAACATGCCCCTGCAGCCTCACTGCTCAATCCTCTGCCATTTAGGAGTTAAATCCCTTTGTTTATGAAACTTAGTCACACCTCCCTGCATGTGACTTGCACAGCCTTCCATAAACACTTCCTGTAAAGAGAGCCCTATTTAGGCTTTCTTTATTGCAAGTTTTGTTTAATTAAGATTTTCTTATCCCCTGCTATGTTAATAGCTTGCTCGACCCTGCAAGAACCTCCTGTATGCGATTAAAGTTCAATTAAGAGATTGAGGTACAATTATTTAAGGTTAATTACATCTGTTTGAAAGTGAAACCAGTTTTTTTTTTTTTCATGCAGGCTCTGTCAATCATAGCCAGGGCAGGTGTGGCTAGGGCTGCATAAACAGAAACAAAGTGATTTAACTGTTAAATGACAGTGAATTGAGCAGTGAAATTACAGGGGAATGATCTATACACTAAAACTGCTTTATTTAGCTAAAGTCATTTAGGTGACTATAGTCAGGGGCGGGCTGGGCCGGGGGGCAGGGAGGCAATTGCCCCCCAGGCCGCCCTAAATTCTGTTAGGACCGGCCGCTGCAGGGCCGGCCCTGTAAATGCTGCAGCCGCCTGAGCGCTCTGTAAAGAGCCTCAGGCGGCTGCAGCTGCTCCTCCCCTGTAGCGTGACCGAGCTGCTCCGCTGTCCGCGGTGCCCGGCCGGACTGATAGGAAGGCGCACACTGAGTGTGCACTTCCTGTCAGTCCGGCCGGTTACAGGAAACAGAAACTCTGCGCGGAACTGGAGATTCTGTTTCCTGTAACCGGCCGGACTGACAGGAAGTGCACACTCCTTCTATCAATCCGGCCAGCACCATGAACAGCAAACGCGATCCACAGAAGGAAGAAGGTGAAGGGGGGGAGGTGAAGGGAGGAGAGATGAAGGGGGGAAGAGGTGAGGGGTGGAGGGAGGAGAGGTGAAGGGGAGAGGAGAGGAGAGTGAAGAAGGCTGGGAGGAGAGGTGAAGAGGGGGAGGGAGGTGAAGAGGGGGGAGGAGAGGTGAAGAGGGGGGAGGAGAGGTGAAGACGGGGGAGAGGAGAGGTGAAGAAGGGGGGAGAGACCACTAAGGGGCAGGGGAGAGCTCTAAGGGACAGAAGGGACAGCTCTATAGGACAGGGGGCAAGACAGGGAACTCTTTCACACTACGCGCACACACACAATGCATCCCTATACATACACAGAAACACACAATGCATCCCTACACACACAGAAACACAACATGCTTCCCTTACACAGAGAAACACACAATGCATCCATTACACACACACAATGCAACCCTTACACACAAAGACAATGCATCCTTTGCACACATTCACAGAAACACACAATGCAAACCCTTACACACACACACACACACTGCTTTTCTTACATACACACAGAAACACAATTTAACAATCTAGCATCTCTAACACACACTCAATGCACACACTTACAGACACACACCTTGCATCCCTTATGCATACAAACACAGATTCACGCAATGCATCCCTTACACACAACCAGAAACACACAATACATCCCTTATACACAAATACACACTGCTTCCACTACACACAAACACACTGCATCACCTGCACAAACTGGTATCCCAATACACTACATACCATAAGCACACATATTAGATCCTCTACAATAACACATAACACATCCCCTACACACTCCACTCCCTGTGAGCGAACTCATGGGTGGGTGTAACATATAAGTGGACTTATGAGTGGGCCTTGTGGGCACATCACCGTCAGGCCCTGGGGCCCAGAACTTGAGCTGTGTAAGGGGCCCCCAAAAAATGGAGCTCCTTCCAATTCTCCCAGAACATTGAATTTTGTGACCACAGTTGCAAACAGCCTCCAGAGATCCAGTTCTACATCAGACCAGTGGAGCCAAACTGCAGCCCATCATCATCCTCATCTTGTTGTAAGTAGGCAATCTAGTATATTATTAGTGACACTAATCTATAATTTACCTCACATTAAAGGTACACTATAGTTCCCAGAATGACTGCAGCTTAATGAAGTGGTTCTGGTGTCTATAGCCGGTCCCTGCAGGCTTTTTAATGTAAACATACACTGTGGCAGCACTGGCGTTAGTTCGTATGGCAGCTCATATAGGTGGGGCATTGTGATGTCACATGGGGGGGCGGCAAATACAGCTGATCCCCATTCAGCCACAGGTGCCGCTGTGCTGGGAGATTGTGATTACTCTTCACTTCCTCCCAGTTTACAGAGCAGTGCATGGGAGAGAGAGGAGGAGGCATGATTTAATCTTACAACAAATCCAGTAAGCAAATCTTTATAAATGTGGGGGGATCAGCTCTGTTTCCACAGTTTATTGGTGTTTACTATGATGTCTGTATTAATATTGAGGGATTTCTAAGTAGTAACATCAGTGTGTGTCAGCAGAGCCAGCCATTGGGGTGTGCACGCTGTGCGGTCACGCAGGGTGCCATCACAACAGAGGCGTCCGGCGGCCAACACAGCTCACCAGCATATTCAATTTAAATGATTCGCTGGTGGTCCACTGGTGCGCACCAGCAGTAGGTGCAGTCAGATTATATCCTCTCCCTCATGGTTCCGACGCTCAGTTAGTGAGTCAGAGCACAGGCTCAGAGATTCTCAGCCTGTGCTCTGACAACAACTGAAAGTCAGAGCCGTGAAGGAACGGGTATGGCAAAGAGCTACTGATTAGCATAACATCAATATCCGTTATAATACCAGGAAAAGGTGGGCACCATTGCACTGATTTGGTGGTGCAATGGGCCACTTGACTGGTTTTGCCCCCCAGGCCTAAGGCTGCCAGCCCTCCCCTGACTATAGTGTTCTTTTAAGCTAATTCCAACTCACTGCCTAGACGTACTTAGACAGGAGGCAGAAAGGGTAATTTGGCCCTGCATGCAGGGCTATTTACTGAAGTGAGAATTCAAGGTGAATTCAAAGTGAATTTTAAATTTAAAGGGACACTAATGAAGTGGTCAGGGGCGGTGTCCTTGTCCCTGTTAGTCCTGGAATGTAAAACATTGCAGTTTTCTACCAGAGAGCCACTAGATGCACTTCCTGCTGTTTCACGGAATTTGACTACATGAACCGATGCTGGATGTCCTCAAACTCTCCATGAGGCAAGTGAGGCAATGCTTTCCTATGAGAAAGGCCATGCTCACAGCGACCCATGGCCGATGGACATCAGTGCTAGTTTCGGGTAAGTGAATCAATGGCTATTTAAGACTTAACAATGCCGCAGGTGGGTGTCGTTTTTTTTTTTTTTATGTTCACTGGTGTCTATGATGGAAAAACTAGTGGTTGGTATTAAGTATCAATGAAGTTCAAAATTACCAATAATTTTACATTCGGCACTCCAGATGTTTTGGACTACATCTCCCATAAGATCAAGGAAGATGTAGTCCACACCACCTGGAGTGCCGACGGTTGCCTACCTTTGTTTTAGAATCTAGTCTCTTCTAGCCAGTACCTACATTACAATGGTGTAAATAAAGAGAAATCAGGATTAGAGAAACTGGATAACTAGAGAAAGAGAGTGCACAGCTGACAATTCCCTGGGACGAAGATCCCAGCTACAGTTGAGCATCCTGTAATACCTATTATTAAACTTCTGTCAAAGTAGCTATATTACTTCATACAGGCTATATTTAAAAGAAACATTATATATAACGTAAAGTCAATAATACCCACTCCATATTCTTCTAATTCTGTATTTACTTTGTATTTTAAATCATGTCATTAAATAAGTAAAAGATAATTGATTTAATCTTAAATGTACTAGTTTACACAGGTGCAGTACCACAAGGTTCATTTTGCTTGCCTTTTGGTGTTCTTTGAATTTAAAATGTTAGTCATTGCTAACCAAATCACTCATTGATTTAATTTTGATTTTAAACATATTCGTGTGTTAAAATAACACATGTATACTGACACGTTTTCTTTTTTTTTTTTTAATTCTTTATTTTTGTAGTGCATAGGCATATAACAGATGCATGTGAGGTACCCCAAAGGCATTCCTCTAGCACAATACGAACAGTGGAACATAGGGGTACAAGGGAGATCAAGCACATTTTTTATATATAAGGGTAGAAACAGTATAGCTTTACTTTGTTTAGGCATTTGCATAACGATTGCATAACATAACTTTCTGGGCATGTGATTGTTTTGCAGTGGCAAGAGATGGTCAAGCTATGAGTAAGTTACTACATGCGTTAAGGAAAGGCTGAGTGAGTCAAAAGATTGGTTATTGCTAGTGGCAGCAGCAGGAGATATGGTGGTAAGATATGCTGTGACATGGCTGACCTAAGTTAGTAACGTGTCGGGTTGGACACCATCATGGCAGGCTGGTATGTCTACCTATACGTGGGTGTTTAGCTTATGAGTAACTAGAACCTTCCTAGCCATTAAGGCTATAGATTAGTGGTCCCACGGATAAGTGTGCTGGACCAACTCTGGTGGCAGGGTATCGAGATTATACTCGGAGAGGCTTGGTAGGTGATTGCTGCGTCCCAAGTGGCATTCCCCCCATGGTCCCTAGCGTTGACAGGGCCATGTGCCATGCCGGGTTGCTGTATGCAAGTGCTCAGCACCAATGGGACATTGGGCTTAGTGTTTAGTTGGCGGCAGTGGCGCTGGCTTTACATTAAGTGTGTAGGTGCCGTTGTGGGGCATACATGGAGCAAAAGAAAGTTGAATAACATAGTAAATGCAACTCGTAAAAAAAAAAAAGAAGGTACATATTTACACTCTTGTCATAAATAGAGTCCTCCACTGTCTGCGGTTAGGTATGTCTGCTGTGTCGGTCGAGTCCCCTAGCCAACTCCAGCTCTCAGGGCGTGCAGTCTGGTTGCAGGGATCTTCTTGGTGTTATAGAGTGTCCAGCCTCTTCGTTCGATGCATGGGGTCTCTGCGTTGATATAGGCATGGCCCCATTCCGGTGGGGTGGACCTGCCAACGTGAAAGAGTCTGCGTGAGGTGATGTGTCGCCGGCTGTGGTGTCGCCTCCGTGGTATGCCAGGGCCTACCTCCGAGTGTTGTCGGTAGGGGTGTTGCGGTGTGGTCTGCCTGGGGCCCTTCGCCCCTGTCCGGTCCCCGTTTAGCGCAGTGTGTCGCTGCAGCGGGACCGCCTTTTCATGCCTCCCAGGTATGTTAAGTTTTGCCGGGCCCTTGTATGAGCGGGTCATCGCCATAGGTATTGGTAGTCGCTTGGGTTTACGGGCTTTTCGGTTTTGCCATCCGCAGGCTTTGTTGGCGCGAGGCGGTGTGCACGTTTGTTGGGGGATCACCGGCAGGACTGTGACAGGGTGGTATGCCTTGGCCTGTTGGTCCCTGGAGGCTATTGTCCTCCAGAACCTGGCGAACAGCTCATCCAGCCTGGTCTCAAGGTCAAGTTTCTTTGTGCCTCGGGCACACGTGGCGGCGGCCATTTCGGTCTCCATCTTGTCACTAGCGGTTTGCTGGTTGGGGATGCGATTTAGGCTGCTGCCGTCTTCTGCATTCCGTGTAAGCTTGTGGTACTCGATTGTGTGGACCGGGATAACCCCCGCCGGTCCCGAGGGGGGGGGAGAAGCCCGATGCTTCGGGTGCTGCCTTGTTAGGTGAGCCGGGAGAGCGGCCGTCTCTCCCCTGCTCTGCATGTTGTAGGCCCCAAGCCTCCGGTCTGGATTCCCAGCGGGCTTTTGCACGTGTGAGGTGTCCCCCGGTACCCCTGCCTCCATGTAGCAAGGTGGGGTAAGTTGGGGTTCTGAGATAGGCTGTATTCCCACTGTTTTCTGCCAAAAATCAGATTCAGGCCTGGGAGCTCACAGAAAGCGTGTCTGTTCAGCTCCCCGGTCAGGCCCCGCCCCCCATACTGACACGTTTTCAATTGAATTTGTATTGATATGAAATGTTTGTTAACCTTTAGATCAGGGGTCCTCAAACTCCGGCCCCCCATATTTTGCTGAACTACAACTCCCAGGATTCTTTGAATTACATAGATAGCCAGAGAATCATGGGAGTTGTAGTTCAGCAACATCTGGGGGGCCGCAGTTTGAGGACCCCTGCTTTAGATTGTAAGCTCACCTTTTGTATTGGTCTGTTCATACTGTACTGTCTTTTTACCACTAGTAAAGCGCTGCGGAATACATTTGTGCTTTTTAAATGGCAGTAATAAATAAATAAAATAAGTATCTAGAGTCTCTGGTTTTTGAGTGGTTAGTGTGTGTGACGAACCCGCTGGCACTCCGACCGAGTACCTCCGCCAATCGATGCTCCTAGTGCTTGCCGAGGACTCCAAGCACTCCAACCGACACCATCAGCACTGCAGACTTATCCCATCCCCCAAGCATGACCGAAGGCTTCAAGAAAGGGTCAAGCAGGCCTGTTTAATGAGCACACAAAAGCAACAGTATTCATGCAGCAAAACACTCCTGCTCTGAGGAAAACAAACTGACAGTTAAAAGGGTCAGACAGTGTTTGAAAATATGACAATTATTAAGGGTTTAAACTGGTGTTCTAAGAGGGGGGGACAAAACAGTCAAACTAAGTCCATAAAACCGGGGTTTTCTTCACACTCTGCATCCGAAGTGCAGCAAAACTGCAGATCCTTTGTCAGAGCATTTAAAGGGCCAGAACCAGTCTTATAAAATCCACTTTGCCCAAATAACGTTTTTAAAGGGCAAAATCTTCCAGGGGCCATAGTCGCAGGGCAGGAGGTTGGCAATTAGTCCTCTCCAGGCACAAGTGGCAAAGGGCACTTCGTCACAGTGTGGTTCTAAACAGTGAAGTATTTATACTTTTTTTTTGCTACGGTTAAGCAGTGATCTTGTTCTCTCAGTTCAAACACACTGTTATTCAAGAGGATTTTAGTGCCATTAATAACTTTTTAAAGTGTTATCAAACAAGCGTATTCAGAGCTTTACTCCAACAGAACAACTAAGTTGCTCTCTTTAATAGACATTTGTCCCATGGGCTTTCTCCCCATTAGGCTAGATTAAGTGACTCTTCTAACGCACAATAGCAGATTGTGCCTTGTGGTTTAGCTGCTGGCTGTGGTTGACTGATATCCAGCCCTGTGAATCCCTGCTGAGTATATAAGCTGTGTGAGCTGCACTAAATGCATTTAATCTGCATAAATGTGTATGAACCGTGCAGGCTTTTTCCTTTAACCCCTTAAGGACACATGACATGTGTGACATGTCATGATTCCCTTTTATTCCAGAAGTTTGGTCCTTAAGGGGTTAAACTCCTTGTACGGAGGGTTTTGAAGAAAAAACATGTTATGAAATGGCATACAATGCCTCTCTCATTCCTAAATTCATTTTTACAAGCCAAGTGAAAAGGCTAAAGTGGCAAAACTATAAATCGTAAAAGTGGTGAAAAGATGATAGTCTCACAGGTAACAGACAACAATATAAACATGCGGGAAACTATTTAGTAGGACAGCCTAAAGAAAATGCACATTCTGGAGAGAGATATATATATGACTGTATCTCTCCGTAACCGGCATTTTATTTAGGCTGTTCTACTAAATAGTTTTCTGCATGTTTATATCTTTGTCTAGGCCATGATATGTCAGTTTTATTTACTGCAATACCTGAAGAGGAGACTCGGTCCTGGAAGCAGTGTAGTTTTCACTCTCAGTTAACTAATATAGATTAAAGAACATTTTCTGATGGATGAACATCAGAACAAAGGAGAAAATCAATAGAGGTGAACGAAGAAGAGAGGAAGTTACAAGGCTAGAGGTGAGGCTGTATTTGTTAGGTGTCAGAGTGTTTGTGTTGTAGGTGTTATGGTTTTGTATGAGTTTGTCTAGATGGGTGCCCGTTTTTAAATAGCTATGAACAGGTGTCTGGATTTAACATGAATGTTTGTAAGTGTAAGTGGGTATGCAGGGATAATACATAAAGTTTTTGTCAAAACACTAAGACCAACTCCTCCTCATCTGCATTGGTATTGTGGAATTTATATTTCTGCGTTTTTTTTCTGGATTTTTTGTGTTTACATTCTGTGTTTATCCCACTGGCTCTATTCATATTACAGGTTTACAAACGAACCGCAAATGATGGCTTTAAAGCTACACCTCATGTAATATTTATGCCACAAACATGTGCCTTTTTATTAAATTGTCATTTAGATATGGGGAATATGGAGAGCTGTGGGAGTGAAACCGAGTAAACTTGCAGAAGCCAGACACAGAGAGATGGATGCAGGTTTTCAGGAAGTAAGAGGTCTTTATTAACATACCGATCGGGTTTCAGATGAACTAACGTTCCAAAACAGGTCTGAGGGTCGAACACATGGAGTACATGCTTTTTATAGAACTATAACTCCTCCCATTAATAGCCCCACCCCCACATACCCTTAACCAATCAGTGTAGAGGATTTGGATTTCCTTATATTGGCAGACCACATGGCTCATCTGAAACAAAGGAGAAAGGAATGTGATTTCAGTTCCTGCATTCATAAACATGCTCAGTACAGTGATGACAGTATCTTAGCTACATGTAACTAACTAACTGATACAACATACACATATGCCACGTGGAAATCTCGGCCTACTAAATTTAAATTTCACCAAAATTCCATCACATTCCCCCCTTTGATGCCTCTGATACAAAATTATTCCAGATGCATCACCAATCATAGTTTACCAACACCTCTCAAGTAGCCATGGACCAGAACAGACCTTGTAAACATCTTAGCATCATCACAAACTCCTTCAGCATTCCTCATACTGAATATGTTCTCTTTGGGCTAGGGATTCATATCTATAGACAGCCATTACATGAGCAGCTGTCTTTCTTTCTATAGTACTCTCTATGATACTACGTATAGATCTGACCACTAATCGAATTAGGCAGGGCAAAAAGAGACATAAGAATATAATAAATACTACTCCTCTTTCTAACGCCGTAATCCCTCCAAGCTGCTCATACCAACTTCCAAACCAACTACTAGGATTATACCCATTCCAGACCTGAGTAGGTACATGCGTCAGTTTAACCATGTGGCTTGTAAATTCAGCCACTGCCCGCCCTTCATCATCTATGTGCAAACAACAGTCGCTGAGATTAAACTTTCATCATACACCTCCCTCTACTGCTAATAGGTAGTCCAGAGCTAATCTATTTTGATAGATGGCTGTTCTCATCCGAGTATTTTGCTTAGCTAGAAGATTAAGTGCTTGAGCTGTCTCAGTGATAATCTCAACCACCGTCTGTAGTTTTATTATACGTTTGAGCATATATATTGCGGGTTCTATATCCATAGTTACCTTCTTCTGCCCAAGTAGCAGGTCCATAATAATTAATAATGCGTTGGGGAGGCCACTCATCATCTTCCCAGCTACCTATATTCAAGGATGCTTGCTTCTTTTTATGATTTACATCATAAACCTTAACTCCCAACGTCTCTCCTGTCTCAATTGGCAACAAGAAGAAGGATGGTTTGAGCATACCTAATACACATGCCCCTTCCCAATCTTGTGGTAACTCTGAATATGCTTTCTTACCACAGATCCAATATAAATTCGCTGGGGCTTTCCAATTGGATGTAGCAGATAAGTCAAACCGTACCTCTTTTAAATGGGTGTAATTGGCAAACGGATTAGTAGGCTCTGAGACATTTGAAGCTGACCACTAAATAGTATCTTTAGTATCGGCATTATAGGCTTTCTGTCCTAGATATATTAACTCGCCAACAGGTGTGGTATACAATTGCCCTTTCCTGGCTAAACATACATGACCTATAATAGAGGTTTTTAACCGCCACTCTGATTTACCTCTAGTACTTACTTGATGATCAGACCGAGAAAGTATTTGTTGTTCATCTGTCTCAGAACCAGGGTACCATACTTCCTTTGCCTCCCATGGCCACTGGTCTCCCATATTAGTATCTCCACATACAAAGCAATTAGTTACATTAAGACTACCTGCAATAGTCTCAGCCAAATCAATAAATAGGTTCTTAACATTATGGGTAATTTTATCCTCAACACTCATCTCCTCATAGAAGGAATGAAAAACCTGATGAGTTGGAGTTGCTATCGTCTCAATTTCTAGTCCTTCATATATTATGGTCCCTGGACATTATGGGTAATTTTATCCTCAACACTCATCTCCTCATAGAAGAAATGAAAAACCTGATGAGTTGGAGTTGCTATCTTCTCAGTTTCAAGTCCTTCATATATTATGGTCCCTGGATCTACTCCTGTGCCATATATTTGGAACCCAAATAGATTTCCAAACTTATCAATAAAATGTTGTGGATTAGAGATGGTAATATGGACAGGATTACATTCCATAGACTTACAGTGTGGTGTAACATAGAAACATAGAAACATAGAAACATAGAATGTGACGGCAGATAAGAACCATTCGGCCCATCTAGTCTGCCCAATTTTCTAAATACTTTCATTAGTCCCTAGCCTTATCTTATAGTTAGGATAGCCTTA